CCCAAGGACGCGCGAGCAAGAGGCACAAAGCCGCCGAAGCGGGAGCCGCGCAGTGCTCTTGCCGGATGTGGGCGCCGAGCGCTCCTCTGGCCTCGGGGAAGCCCAGCCTTGCTCTGTTCCAGCTCATGGAGGTCCCGTGAGGGATTCTCAGGGAGCCATCAGGAGCGTGTCCCCCTCGTCCCTTTGCACGGCGGGGGGAGGCGTCTTCTGAACGACAAGGCCGTTTCGATCTCTCTCGGGGCTCGAGGCGATTCCCTGCCCGTGATTCTGCTGAGAAGCTGAGCCTTCCCCGGAATGAAAGTTCTGTAAAATCATTTGATTGATTGACTGACTGACTGATTATGTGCCATCGAGTTGTTTTTGACTCCTGGCAACCACACTGATAGATTTTCTCCATGACGATCTGTCCCCAACCTGGTCCTTCAGGTCTTCCAAGGGTGCCCCCATCGCCACCGTAACTCAGTCCATCCCCCTGGCTGCTGGCCGTCCTCTTCTTCTCTTGCCTTCCACCTCTCCCAGCATCAGAGCCTCCTCCAGAGAGCTGGGCCTTCACATAAGGTGTCTGAAGAAGGATAACTTGAGCCTGGTCATGTGTGTCTCGAGTGAGAACTCTGGGTGGATTCGTTCGATGATCCATCGGTTTGTTTTCTTGACTGTCCAGGGTCTTAGGAGTCTTCTCCAACACCAAAGTTCAAAATCGTTTGAACACCAGCTCTAAACTCTGGTGCAAATAGGGTGGAACAAGACTTTCTTCCCATGTTCCCCAACATTTCATCAAATGCTATCATGTACCCCCCTCCCCGCCTCTGCCAGTGTTCTCTTTCTCCCAGGACCGTCTTCTTCAACTTGGTGCCCTCCAAACACCAGGACTGCACCTCCCAGGATTCCCAGCATGCTGGATGAGAATCGTGGGAATTTTCATTCCAGCTCATGAGGAAGGCGTAGGATGGAAGAAGAACCAAAACATACATACATATGTAAATACATACATACATACATATTCTGTTTGCACCAAGATGGAGCTGCTATTACAAAGAGATTTGCTCGGAGCAGAGATCCCCTGTGTTGGGAATATGTTTGGGGTCTGATTGTTCTTCTGGCATGAAGTCTTATTGTCATTGTTTTATTGTGTGGTTTTTTTGGGGGGGTACCTTTCTCGTTTGCAGTTCAGTCTTGCTCTTACGATTTACGGTTGTTATCTTTACCGTGGAGGGATATGATACATAAACTACTCAGATTGGAGCGGCATCTAAGCCTTAGCAAATAAATATTAAATACTATTTAATTTTAATTTTTATATTTAATCACACCCTGCGATCACTTTGAACACACCGTTGTGGCCACCATATTAGTTTTTTTCACCCCACACCCCTGAAGTCAACAAATGCAGGAAAACGAGGTGGCAAGACTTCAGGACTGTTCAGCGCTTCCCCCAGTAATAACAATAATTAGATAATAAACAAGAACAACAACTCCCTGCAAATTGAAAAAAGAAGAAAAGTTCTATTAGGGTTACTAAGAGTTTCTCTCCCTGCCCCCTACCCTCGCTAGAAATTTCGGAAACAGGACTCGTCCCCCCTTTGCTCGAAGTGAAAACCTGGAGCAAGACTCGGCCGGCCGCTCGCAAAGCCCGCGTGGCTTGTCCAGCGCGGCGGGAAGACGGTGTCCCTACCTTGGGCAAGCGTTCGGGGTCGCCGGGATGCCGCGGGATCACCTTCTGCAAGCGCTGAAACCCATAATCGATTGTTGGCTCGTTCAGGGCTAGGGAGGGAAAGAAGGACGCAATCAGGGCCGCCGGGCTGAGGCTGCAGCATCGAAGGAACCAGCAAGGGGACTTCAGAGGCACGGCGAACCCCTCCTGAGGTCCCTGCCCTAAGCAGCCCCGGGACAATCCATTCGGAGGGTCTCACTCCCTTGGCTTCTGTTGTTTCTTAAGTTTCCTGGGGGGCCCTGGAGAAAGACCCTCATTTTACCCCTGGTGTTTGGCTTTGACAGCTAAAGAGCTGTCTGCTTATCGTGGTTTCAAATGTATGTGGAGCCTGGCTGGACAAACGTACGTTTCTCATTGGACAGTGCAAACCCTGTACAGATGTCTGAATCCTTACGGCCACATCCCCAAAGGCTGTGATTTCTGGGATGGTAGGCCTGAAACAAAGACTCCTGTAACTGACTCTAGTCATGGCATACTCTAGTCATAGTCTCGGCATGAACCTAGAATGGCATTGGCCTTTTTTGCAGTCACAGCACCCTACCGGCTGACGCTCAGCTGACCGTGACTTTGGGCTTGCTATGCAAATATCCAAGTCGTTTTTGTGGCCACCATATGCAAGTGGTTTGCCAAAGCCTCCCGGTCTCATCTGCTGCCCTAGGATTTCCTTGTGGTCTCCCATCCAAACACTAACCTGTCCC